TTAGTTAATTACCACAGATGGGGCTATTGGGGAAAAAAAAACGTACATTATTTTGAATTATGAAAATTTATTAAATTGATTGATTTATATTTTACGGATTATCAAACTTTGTGAGTTATTTATAGCCGAAACATATTTTATGGGGTAATTTTGGGAGTAAAATCTTTTTTCGAGTGAATATTGAATTAACAACATTTTTGAGAATAACAATTATTTTCCAGATATAACTCCTACCTTTTAACTATATATACGTCACAAGTAAACAAAATTTCAACTTTCTCATATATATATGCTGCTAATTCAATGCACTTCAACTAGAATCCAGCTCTCCTAAAGTAAAGACGTTAAAATTTCCCTTACTCTCTGCCATGCGACGATAGCTTGAAACAATCGGATGGCTAGCCACACTAACGAGCTGTGACACAGCGAAACAGTTTGTCTGTGGATGACCATATATATATATATATATATATATATATATATATATATATATATATATATATATATATATATATATGCGTGTGTATGTGTGTGTGTTTCATTAAAAGACGACAAAGTACTGTGATTAATTTTTTTTAATTAATTTTCTTGTGTTCGAACAAAGAGTTTTCTTTTTTGCACACAGAGTGTGTAAAAAGTGAATGCCTACTCAGATACAAAATAGCAGTGATAAAAAAAAACTTTCCTAAATAGAGCGCAAGAGAATTCATCCTCTCGTTTACTTCTTAAAGAACTCAACAATGCAAAACAGACACTAGTTAACAACGATTTTCCTAACCACCTCATCGACCATAGATTAAACCATTCCTTTTCACACAGACAAAAATAAAATAAATATTTTCTGCTACAAAATCCAAATGCACGTCAACTATAAATAAGATGAATCTTCACTTAGAAATGTTATACAAAAATACATTACCCCAGTTGACCCAAACAAAAAATAAATAAATTATCTACTCCAAAAGATTTAAAACAGCTAACCTTATCCTCAAAATTACAACACACCTGCAAAATCAAAACTACAAAGAACAAACATTATTTACGAGTTCAAATGACCATTAAGAAACTGTGTTTCTGATCAAACCGAACTCATAAATAATTACATTGGTCACACTACTACATGCCTATCCAGACGACTTACATTATATCTATCCGACCACAGCTCCATCAGAAACCATTTAAACACACACACGCAAACTTACCAGACTCCATCCGAAACATACTAGTAGAAAATACAACATAATAACCTCATCTACATGTAAAAAAGATTAAAAATAATCGAAGCCTTAATAATAAAAAAAGAGAAAGCCAACAATCAATAATATTATTAACAATCAATAATATGAACACGGCCACAATGTGCTGCCTGTGTTCCGAAAATAAAACATCCCTAGACACATACACACAACCTCTACATCCAGTTAAAAAGTAAAGTAAAAATAGTTATACATCCAGTAAAGTAAAAAAAAAATAACCTTGATAATGGCTAAAAATACAACCGAAAGCGCTCGGAATTACAGAATATTTGGAGAGATTCTACAAACTCTGTGTCCAGAAAAGAAAACACTTGTTCGAACAAAAGAAAAAATAAATAAAAAGATTAATCACAGTACTTTGTCTGCCGTCTTTAGTGAAACATGGATAAATGAAGGACTGCTGCCTAAATACACAATTATATATATTCCAATGTATTTTTTTAGAAACCCGCGTCTTTCTTTCGACAAAAGCCGCTCGTTACCATCGATCTTATTGATTTGATTCCTCTCCGTATTCTCTCATTTCTTCTTTCCTCCCATGCAACGACAGTCTGTAATCAGCAAAAGCATCTATTTTAACTTTTTTTTGCAAAAATAGCTTCTCCAAAATGCATGCAAGGAAAAAAGCTTCATATTGGTTTCTGATAAGAACTGTCAACCGATTTGCCACACAATTACATATCCATCGACGATGCTACGTAAATTGCTGCTATTTTAAAAAAATACATATTCCGCTAGGTGAAAGTGACTAGTTCATGATGTCATATATATATATATATATATATATATATATATATATATATATATATATATATATATATATTTCATTAAATAATATAGACAAGTTTTGTCTATTTATTTTATGTAAATTCTTTTCATAACGTCTGATAAACTTAATAACATTATCATTAAACGAAGAAAGAAAATCACAATATTGATACATATTTTTTTAATTCAATCTAAGCTTTCGGTTTACATAAGCCATTATCAAAGATGACAATTACTGTACAATATATTAAGCAATACACGGACAAGAATGTGATGATAGTCTGCTTCTGTTTACATGGATAATTTCCAAGCAACGATAAACACGTGCATATAAAACGCTTGAAGCAAAAATCGCACCGCAGCTCATGAGGTCACACATGACCACGCGACAGTGATTTCGAGAAGTATTAAGTATGGGAAACCGTTTGTATAAACCAATGGCCTCTGTAACCAATTATAGACATTTAAGAATATTTATGGAGATTTCGTAGTTTATTTTGTTCAGGTTATGTTTCAACTGTTTTATGTATATAGCTTCAACAATTTTCAGTTTTTCATGTTTTAGTATAATTGTGTTTTCAACAAGGATTTTACGGAATTGTGTATGCGGCCAGGTATGTTGTTTTAAATGCCTAAAAATGTTAGGGTTTTCATTCAAATGTAGTGTCAAGCGTGGTGAAAGCGAGTTTGTGTTGTGACCAACATAAATATTATTTAATTCGTAGGAGATACAATCTCCCAAAAGGCACTTGAATTTGTAACTTAAGTTTGTTTTTTTGCAAATCGCTAACCGGGGGAAAAGAATGAAAAGAATTTCCATAAAATAAATAGACAACACTTGTCTATATTATTTAATGAAACATGTATGAATGAAAAAATGCTTCCCAAATATATATATATAGAGAGAGAGAGTAGAAAAAAGAGTCCACTTGTGCTTCACATAGTTTATAAAATAGAGTAGATGTTGGTCAATAAAACAAAGTCAAACGGAAGGGTACCGATGCCATAAGTACGAAAAACATTTATTAATTTTAACCACGTGACAAAAATGAAGCAATGAGGTTGAAGTTCCAAGTTCGGAATTTTCGAACACACCTGTGTTCTTCATTTTTTTTTCTAATAATTATATATATATATATATATATATATATATATATATATATATATATATATATATATATATGGGCAGACATGGGCAGACCTAAAAAAAATATCTAAATCTTTTATTTTACAACCCATTCTGAATGATTGGATGAGATTTTGCCTTGGATTCATTTTTGTCATCTGGTTAATATTAATAAATTCCATCAGTACCCTTTGATTTTCTTAAATCGACTATCTTATCTACTCATATATATATATATATATATGTGTGTGTGTGTGTGTGTGTGTGTGTGTGTGTGTGTGTGTGTGTGTGTGTGTGTGTGTGTGTGTTGGGAGTATGAGTTTCCCTGATACCTCAAACTCACCTTGGAATAGATTCTTCAATATTAGTATTTATCTCGCTGCGTTTAGAGGACAATTAATGCAATGAGTTTGATCGCCAGGGTGAATCTTTAATTGGGGATTTTTCAGCACCAAGACATTTCAGTATCAGTTATCTCCCTTTAATTCAACTCTCCAAGTGTTTGTTCACCTTAGGTGTAGCCAGGGATTAATCTCTCAAACCTTTGGTTCAAGTCACTAGATTCAACCAACGCTTTTACTCACTAGACTATGTATCGTTGAGCAGACATCCGGAATAGGCATGGCACGTGGAACTAGAACCCTAGTGGGCAAAATAAAGGATAAGATCGAAATTCCAATCACCTGAAGTAAGCTGAAGCGTACAACGGTCGAAACGTGCTGAATATGGCAACGAAGACGAGGACAATAGTCCATACAATGCAAATAGTGTAAATAATTACTATATCTTATCTTAGAAATATATATAGATAAATATATAGTTTTAAAGTGTGCTATATTTATCGGTTCAAGTGTTCGATATCAGAAATAAAGCGTATGTAAATATAAATATAAAAGTGGACATTGAGGACGACAGCTAGTTTGTTTTTTTGCTTAAACGCAGACTTCGTGTCATATGGGTTTTGTTTTGTTTCGACTCTTTATATATGCTGATCAATAGAATGCCGATTGGTTATTGGGTTACCAACAATGTTAACCGTCAGATGAGATGTCGAAATTAGACATCGAAACAAATATGTATTTTTGTCGTGGTAACTTACATGTCCCAAAGTAACAGTTTATAATAAATATCTATTGCTCTACTCTTGTATTGTGCCCTTTTTAAATTAATGTTATGAAAGTTTGAATTTATATTCTTTTCATTCTTTTATATATATATATATATATATATATATATATATATATATATATATATATATATATATATACTGTTGAACAATTTTATTCCCTTTTAATTTTACAATCTAAATTTGTTTCTAAATGTGATTGAAGATGACTTTTATATTTTAATCATGTGCCAGTTTTTTCTCTTATTAGTAACATAAATGTGTTTTTCATTGCTCATATAGGAAGTAATTTTTTCCGTCTACGTTGAACAGTTGGTCGAAAAGTTCCTGAGATATTTGCCTTTTTAGCATTAAGATACCTTCATACATGCTATGTAAGCCTTTAATAATAATAATAATAATAATAATAATAATAATTTCTCTTGGCGAAATAGGCTATTCCCCATATGAGGTGATTTTGGATTTTATTGTTTATTAATCATTTGCTCTGTAATAATAAATACGTTGAACTCTTTTTGTGCATCAGTTTTAATTTTTTTATATTACTAGGATTCACTTGGACTATATACCAACTAATCTGTTACCTTTATATATATATATATATATATATATATATATATATATATATATATATATATATATAAAATGATATTGATAGCCGAACAAGAAAATGAATTAGAAAAACATTAAGACGAAACTATGATAAAAAGTGTGATCCTGAATACTAATAGATAGATAGATAGATAGACATGAATTGGGGGTGATAGATAGATAGATAGATAGATAGATAGATAGATAGATATGAATTGAGTGTGATAGATAGATAGATAGATAGATAGATAGATAGATAGATAGAATTGATATGTAGATTGATAGATGATAGATAGATAGATAGATAGATAGATGAATAGATATGATAGATAGATAGATGGATGATAGATTGATGGTGTGATAGATAGATGGATAGATAGATAGATATGATTGATGATAGATAGATATGGATGAATAGATATGAATTGGTGTGATAGATAGATAGATGGATAGATAGATAGATGATATGAATTGATGGATAGATAGATAGATAGATAGATAGATATGAATTGAGTGTGATAGATAGATAGATAGATAGATAGATAGATAGATAGATAGATATGAATTGAGTGTGATAGATAGATAGATAGATAGATAGATATGAATTGAGTGTGATAGATAGATAGATAGATAGATAGATAGATAGATAGATAGATAGATAGATAGATGGATGGATGGATGGATAGATGGATGGATATGAATTGGTGTGATAGATGGATAGATGGATGGATAGATTGATGTGATGGATGGATGGATGAATGGATGTGATAGATAGATAGATAGATAGATGGATAGATATGAATTGAGTGTGATAGATAGATAGATGGATGGATGGATATGAATTGAGTGTGATAGATAGATGGATAGATAGATGGATGTGAATTAGCTATGATAGATAGATAGATAGATGGATGAATGAATTAGCTGTGATATTAGATGATGATAAATAGATGGATGGATGGATGGATGGATGGGTATGAATTAGCTGAGATAGATGGATGGATAGATAGATGGAATAGATATGAATTAGCTGAGATAGATAGATAGATAGATAGATAGATAGATAGATAGATAGATACGACCATATGAGATGGATCAATGGCCTAGTACAAAAATGATGATTTTTTACTGAAACAAATCTTAAGATTTTGTGACTTACGAATCTTAATGTTCATTGGTTCTTACAGCTTTTCAGCAACTCACCAACTGCTACCCAATCTAAATACCACATCTAAACGCATGCGCTAGTCTTCCCGTATTGGAGTTACGCATTTAAATAAACGAAACTGAACGATATTTAATGGTGCATAAATAAGCCGCTCTTTAGAAAGTAAATACAGCAGAGAAAGACTTTCAAGCCGCTCATTGTTCGTAAACCAAAATCTTTACTGAACCGAAAATCGCTTAATCTGCTGTTATTTTTGCAATTAACCTCATTCCTCCAACCAATTGCTTTATTTTTAAATCAAAATTCCCCGCTTTTAATGACTATGTGAATATATGATGGATGTGTAGATCAATATTATAGATAGATTTTTATAATGTTAAATTAAATTGTTAATTTTAACGCCTCCAAGACTAAACTTCTTTCCATTATTCATATGAAAGACCCATCTCTGCCTTGCATCAGATGGCTAATGCTAACCTGTAGGAAAGTAAGTCGTTTCGCCTTCTCGGGCTAATGTTCTCACCTGACATGAAGTGGAAAGATTATATTGAATCAATTGCTAGGTCAACTACTAAGAAAGTTGGTTCACTGTATCATGCGAGACAATTTTTCTCTCCAGAATCTATCTTCCATATCTATGTCTACCATTCGTCCATGCTTAAAATATTTCTGCCACATATGGTCCAGTGGCTCTGCTATTTACCTGGAACTCCTTTATAAAATCCAAAAAAAGAATCATCAATATTATTAGTCCTGATCTGGTGGCTAGACTTCAGTCAGTTTTCCACTGGCGTAAGGTTGCCTCTCTGTGCCTTTTCTATAAATACTTTCATAGTAATTGTTCGGATGTGTTCTTCGTTAGGGAACCTAGACTTTTTGAATTTAAGTGAAGTACTAGATTGGCGTCGATATCTCAATTTACAGTTGCACTGGGTAGAAATAACTGTAAATTCTATGCTAACAGTTACTTTTCTCGCATTTCTTGCTTGTGGAACTCCCTTCCGGCTCCATGCTTTCCAGCCGACTATAATCAACAAAAATTTAAATACAATGCCAATCGCTATCTTCTGTGTCCCTGATTACTCTTTTCTTTTTCCTGCTCATTATTAATGTTTCTGTTACTAATTCTTCCGCACTCTGTAACCCTTTGTGTCTCAGTAGTCTTTTCTGCCTTGCATGAAGTGATACCGATTAAAAAAAAATGACATGTCCTTTCACGACGAAGGTATTTCTTGTTCCTGGCAACTTTATTTTGCTTAATATTTATAAATTGCGTATAATGTTCGTGGAAAATACACGTCTTCTCCTTCTTCTTCTTCTTCTTCTTCTTCTTCTTCTTCTTCTTCTTCTATGTGCCGTGTCCCTTCAGGGTGTTGGCTCTTTACAATATCCTGTCAGCTCTTAATAACTTTTGTCTTTATACCATTTCTTCCATACATTACTCCACCATCCATTCACTCAAGCTCGGGAAGTTGTGTGTTGCCTTCGTCCGTCTCTCTTGCCTTCAATCTGTCCTGTGAGTATCAAATTTTCCAAGCCCCCCTTCTTCATTATGTGTCCCAGAAACCACAACTGCCTCTGCTTGATGATAATTATAAGTGTTCTTTTTGTTACCATTTTCTGTAGAAATTCGTCGGTGCTCATATGTTCGGTATCCTCAGCATCCTTCTATAAAATCATATTCATGTTGCTTCTTCATCTGTGAGGAGTTCAGAGTTGTCCTTCTCCTAGATGGATAGGCTACGGAGCCGAATTTTCTCCCCTTTTTACTCCTAGCTGATATAAGAGTTGGATTCCTGTTTTTCCCAAAGGGCACTAGCTCGAAGTGAAAGCAACTGGCTCAGTCGGAATTCGACCTCGGCTCACCGGTTGTCTTTTCCGTACCAATAATGTTACACCACCCGCACATTCTGACTTTATTTTGAATTCTTTAACGACTAGTAGTCGCTTTTCAAATAAAAATATGTTCATTTTAGATCGTCAAATCTACTTGCTTATCCAATTCGTCTAACGTTAACGATTTTTTTTCCGATTTAACTTTCATCGTATTTTAATAAAAGATTAACCTAGCAGAAGCCTCAAGTGCCATTCAAGGTAGAGAGTTACTGAAGGACATATGTAATATGAATTTAAGGGCAGTTAGTATGAAGTGAATATTATGAGGATAAGAAAAATAGCTAACGTTTGACAATTGACATGAAGAAATTGTATTCCAGGAAAGGGTCTACAGGGAAATTTGTGTAAAACGTGTTCTGGTTGAAACTTCCTCGTCACAGTTGGAATAAGGAGAGAATTGAAAAGAATGGAACTTATCTGAACATTTACCATGGAAATAGCGATAGGCTTGTGACGCTGTCTCTGTGGAAAAAAGGCTGCAGACTAAAACAAATCTTACCCCAGAAGACCGCGTAAATAATTTTGAACTTTATCAAAAGTGGAAATTATAAATATAGGATGATTAAATGTAGTCACAATTTCAATAGATGATAGGTTTGCTATTTGCTGGGATTCAGTAATATGACATAATTTAATAAAATAAAATGGATATTTAATTAAGTAAGTAATTTAAAATAAATCAATAATCGGTGAGTTTGAATAAAGGTGGTTTAATTCTCTATTTTCCAAATTATATGATCATTGATTAATTTACTGTGATTGTTTTATAAGATTTCATAAAATTATATTTTAAAACGATGAAATTATAAAACAAAGTCAATCATTTTAACTACAGCTGAATGTTAAAATGCTGTCACCTTCTTAAAGACTCTAGCATTTTGAATTTGAAATTTGGAGCCTGCGATTAGCGTTTATTTTGGTAAGCTTAAATATGATATCTGATAATAATTTAATAGATGTCTCGAACCCTCTGACCCTGATGAGCGGTGAGACATGAAACTTTCGGGTTTGTTAAGTGATTAGTTATCACTTGAACACTTTTTCCTTATTTTATTTTTTATTTCCAAATGGCCCCTGCCAATACCCTAGTTTCTGTATTTAGATACCAGTATTATTTTTGTCCTATTTTAAATTTAACTTGTGAATCTGCGTTCCTCCAATAAGTCCCTGTATATGTAAAAAAAAAAAAAAAATCAATTATATTTTATGCCTGAAGAGTTCGTTTGGTTTGGTTTGGTTTGGTTTAGTTTGGTTTGGTTTGGTTTACGGCATATCGACCTCAATGAGTTATTTAATACCGACAAGATTTTTATTGCTGGTAATATTTTTTTCAAATGTATTTCTGGTAATATGTTTTCCAAAACAGTATTGCTGGTAATAATGTATTGCTGACAATAATTTTCTCTTCAAAAATTTATTGATAGTAATAAATTTTTTACAAAAATGTATTGCTGGTATTAAAACCTATTTTTACACATCTTGAACCTGGGGTTAACTATTTGTCCATAGCTGGGGCCCTAACAGGTGCTACTACCCCAAGTCGGGATGAACCTGGGAATACCAGCAATTAAGAGGTGATTTCACACTTCTCATAACCTTCTGATCAGAGACCTTACTTTCGGATGTAGTTTATCGTCTTAACCAGGAAACAGATGTATTATATCACCATACCCTGGACGCCTGAAGAGTTGGGTAATCAACTAAACTTGTCGCACCCCAAACGTAGGTATATGTATATTTATTAATATATATTTATTTCTAAGCACTATCTAACTACACAGAGCACTGTTACGTTTACACCTTAAGGTAAATTTGCTAAATATTTATTTGTTTACCTGTGTATGCACGCGAGCGCGAGCATATAAGGTTGGCAATATCTAGTTATCTGATTTACCTCTCTCTCTCTCTCTCTATATATATATATATATATATATATATATATATATAGATATATATATATATATATATATATATATATATATATATATATATATATATATGCATGCATAGTCTTTGATGCTCCTTGAAGTGTGGGTTTGTTAACAGTGACTATTGCGGCTAATAATGCAAGAGGTAAATCGAATCTTCTCTCAGTCATTCTGTGTTTATCTAAAAAATAAATATGCTTAAATTCGCCTTCATCCCGGCTTAGTGGTAGAATCCCACCGATTGACGCCAATTCAGTCGGGTTTCGATTCTAGCTAGAAGCAACCGGACGTCTAACCACACTGATTCGCTGTGATACAGCGAAACAGCCTGTCTGTGGGTGATTATATATATATATATATATATATATATATATATATATATATATATATATATATATATATATAATATATATATATATTTTGATTCAAGCATGTTTCATTAAATAATAGAGATATGTCTATTTATTTTTATAATAATCATTCCTAGTTCTTTAATTATTTTCTTGATGTTGTTAAGTCGAAATTCGCCAAGGAAGGTGTTGTATTTTTTGTTAATCCAAGTACTTTCGATACCCTCCGAGATCATAGTCAGGGCTGAATTGCCAAGATAAACTTAATGTAACTGTAATATTTGCGAGGGTGATTTTTACAAACACGTGTGGAGACACTCTTCTATAATTATTTTAAAATTTTAGAATATATATATATATATATATATATATCCGGTAGTGCACCAGGTTTCTCTATTCGGCCTTTCAAAAAGTATGGATGGTCCTGCACGAAACCTTCACCACTATAATCGAATCTCATGTGCCGGTGTCGGGCTGTCGGTTTCCTGGGAACTGATCTGCTTGACCCTCATACGTCGAACCCGACAGGAGAATCGATTTTATATATATATATATATATATATATATATATATATATATATATATATATATATACTACAGGTAATCGATCCGTTGGTATATAATCCGGGTGGATTCTATCAATATTAATTATAAAAACTGATCCAGTGAGCTCAATGTTTTTTTTTGTTTTTTTTTAATTTTAACAGAACATATGTATATTTTTAAAGCAAAAAGACAAATATTACCTCAACATCTTACTATCATCAACACTTAATATCAGTAACAATAAAGATTACCTCATGTTGAAGTAATTTTTGTTATTTTTGCTGTAATATATATATATATATATATATATATATATATATATATATATATATATATATATATATATATTTTCA